TACAACGACAGGAGCATCATGAAGAACAAGTATCTCAACAGTCCAGAGTCCAGATACGCAGCCAGAGTGAAATAAGAAACTCTGGAGGAGTTCATATTCCTCCACATTTCAGTTTGTAGAACAACGACACTGTTCAGCAAATGATTAAATCATCAAACACACAATCAGCACATTTCATTTATATAAACGAAGACCACGATTAAGAACTGAAGAACCTTCAGTGCACGAGAGTATGAATCCTACAGAGTCTGGTTAGAGATGAGACAGTGACCTTAACTCCTTAAAGTCAGTGACGCCCACAGCAGCAGAGTGACGTCGTTACGGGAGGACTGACCGAGAGAGTGCTCCTGTTTTTCTATTTCTGTTTGTATGTGTATGAACCAGAGTCTGGCGCTGGTCTGTAAACCAGCAAAGCTTCGTACTGGACCTGAGCCTGAATCCACACTTATCTCCGAGTCCAGAGCAGCACAGAGCCCTTCGTCTGTGGCCTGTGACCCGTCAGCCATGATGTCCCTCACACGCCTCTTCTTCCTCCACATGTTCCTGCAGCTGTTTCCTCAGCATCCTCGGGCTTAGCTCACGGCTTTCAATGCTAACGCTTTGTCCACACTTTTTACAAACGGCCACTGGAACTTTTATCGTCCACGAGGTTTTCATCCGCCAAGAGATATCAGGCCCTAATGAAAGGTTCCATCTATAGAATCACTGTGGCTGTATGTCACTGTGACCTTTGACCTCCGACCACTGAACTCAAATCAGTTAATGTCATGAAATTCATCTTTTCTCTCGAGGCTGATTATTGGGCCTCAAACTGAATTTCACTCCACTGATGGAACACATGTTCACAGTTTAATGCATCGAGTAGCAGAACCAGATATTCAGAAGAAAGAAATACATTCAAATAAATAATACATCTGAATTTAAGCTCCAGTGTGTAAGATTCAGGTGAAGGGATTTATTTAATGTAGAATAATCCTCATGATGTTTTCACTAGTTTGTTTCACCTAAATTGTTTGAGTTGTAGTTTTCTTTACCCCAGAAAAGAC